AAAACAAAAGAAAACGCACACACCGTGGTCTTAGATCTTGTCATCTTTATACTTACAACAAAATAACATCTTAGGCAGCCTGCTTTTTTGAATAAAACACCTACCACTTTCGACTTGAGATTTTTAAAATGGGGATTTTTAAAAGGGAGGGGGGAGGGAATGCTGACCGTGTAATAGCTAGGTACTTGTGGTGGGTGTAGAACATGAAAGGTTACAATATGGATCCATGCCTATGCTTTTTCTTTTCAACTCCGAGCCCCTTCCCTCCTGCTTCTGCTAACTCGGCAATCATACTGCTGACAGATTTCGAGGTTTTCTAAATAATGTATGGGATTTTCTTTTAACGTGTCAGTGCAGAAGTATCAATTCTGCCCCTGTGTCATTTCTGATGCTGATTTTTCTTGACAGCATTCCATTAAACCAATGAGTTTCTCCCCTCCTGATGCTCCTTTAAATATTCCTCTGAGTGATGTATTTGTGGTTTTTTAAACAGATCGTGAAGGATGTTTGCATTTAGGAGGGGCGGGTGGAACTGCATGGCAGGTACATGGGGGAAAACTCATGCTACACACAGAAAACAGAAATTTATTTTATTATTATTATTATTTACCCTATAAAAGAGGTTTCCCCCTGGTTCTTGAACTGCCAGAAGCTGATTCCTTGGTTGCCCTGCTCCTTACTAATATATCAGTTTGCCTCGGAAATCAAGCAATGATGTGAAAGCATACTGGGACATGATTTATAATGATCTTAAGAAAGTGTTTAAGAACATGTTCCATAAGAAACCAGAAGCTTTCTTGTTAGGTATTTTAGGAGAAGAGATTCCTAAGAAAGACCATACTATATTCTTATACGCAGCAACAGCGGCAAGGACTCTTTTAGCTCAGAAGTGGAAACAGCAGGAAACTCTGACAGAAGAATGGCAGAGTAAGATGATTGAATATACAGAGCTGGCAAGACTGTCCAGGAAAATCCGAGACCAGCAAGACTAACAGTTTCAAAAAGACTGGAGTAAATTTGTTATTTATTTGAAAGAACATTGTAAACACTTAACAACGCTAACAGGACTGGCTTAAAGGTTTGTCAGTTAAAATTAGAAACTTATTTACAATGATAAGGAATTTCAAAGTAAAAGGAAAGGTAGATGAGGGGAATGAGAAATGCGGATGAAATGATAATTGGAAGCTAGAAAATCAGTTGGGAGTGATGGGGGGGGGAGTCGTTGACTCGAGAGAGTCAGAATATTGGTAATGTAAAGTTATGGAAAATCACACGATGTTTTTTTTAAAACGAAAATGCCAATAAATAGAAGAAGAAGAAAGAAGAAGAAGAAGAAGAAGAAGAAGAAGAAGAAGAAGAAGAAGAAGAAGAAATAATCAAGCAATGATAATGAATATTTGCCACAAGAAGTATTTAATGCTCTTTGTTGCTGTTGCTCAGGAATGCTACAGACACATATGTATTGGAGAACTTCTATTAAAATGCCTCCACCCCACTTCACTTTAAGTCAGCTTTATTCCTTGCTTAATGGCTGGAATGGGCAGCTTCAATCTCTGGAGTTATATGTTGACGCTTCTTTGATTACAGCGCAATGGCATAAAGAGTCCTTCAAAGTACAACAACAAAAACTTGCAGGCAACAATCAGTTTGTTCACTTTTTATCTCCCTTTCATCCACTCATTCACATATTTAGCACATCAGCAAAGAACCAAAAATAATGGTCACATATCAGCAGTGACATGACTGTCATTACTACTAGTACTTCTAATTTCTGTGTTTTATTTATTCTGACGATTTATATAAGCACTTAATTACGGGTAGTCTCTAAGTGGTTGCAAGTTATGCCATGAAACAAAGAAGATAAAAGTAAGCAAAAACTGTAAAAACAGAATTCAAACGAAATGTTTGCTAAACGAATTTTTAAAAAAAGGTTTTAGTGGAACATTAGACCTGCCTGACCTCAGCTGGAAGGGAGTTCCATAAAATTGGGGCCCATTTGTACTATACTTTTCAAAGCTGTATCATGCCATGTTATACAACCATGGTTCCTCCCCCCAAAGAATCTTGGGAATTTCAGGGTGCTGACAGTTGTTAGGAGACCTGTAATCCCCTCACAGAACTGCAATTCCCAGAGAGGTTTAACAATGAATTCTTCTTCCCAGGCAACTCTGGGAATTGGAGCTCAGTGAGGGGACTACAAGTCTCCTGACAAGTTTTGCCCATGCAAGGAGGTGGGTAGTGGGGGTGGGTAGGGACAAAACTAGAGTTATTTGCATCTGCCTGTCATTAGCTCTAACAGCACCTCCTGTTTGTCTCCCTGCTTTCCACCCTCCCACCCACTGGTGGGCAGAAGAAAAACTGTGAGACCCTTGTAGAAGGGCACACTACATGTTCAACATCCTTCTCTCAGAAACTCCAGGTGTACTTTGGATTTGAATCTTAACAAAAGCACAATAATATATACTCAAAAAAGAAAGACACTGGCAAATACCATTTTATTCAAGCCCAATTGCCAAACATTTTCCTTGCTCCACTTAAACCATCACAAAAGGCAATCATCCAGAATGAAAAGGGTTTTAAAGGCATATCTTTTCTATCTCTCTAGTGGAAATCACTATGTAGCAATGAATGAAAGGACACACAGACACACACACACTTTCAACATATATTTTTTTCAAGTAAAGAGGTGACTTTAAACTCTTTGTTCCCCGTGTCTGTATCTATTAAAAATCCAAAAGAATAACAAACTCTACCACTGTAAACCTATATTTCTGATTTGACAGCTATAGTTATAACCACTCAGGCGTCTATTTCCCACAAACTCTCAACAGCCATAACCTTTAGTGATTAATTATAAAGTTCCAGGAGCAATAGTACACAGACTAATTTCCTAAAACAATAAAAAGACAGAATTTCTCATTTGGAGCTAAATGAAACACGAACAGGTTGTTATTCATGCTGAAATCGAGATGCAGAGTCATGTTGCAGCCATTACAGAAGCTATTAAACACAACCTCGAATCAAAGAAACTGTAGGTCTGTCTCCTTAAAATAAAATGTTTTCTTCACTGACATGGCTCCTGGTTCAGTGGCTATGTTGCCGCCTGCCTTTGTTAAGAAGTCACTTTCAAAATTCAATCTCCTTTTATTTTTGTTTTACACCATTTTATTTTAGCAGTCATTTAGCCCGTATGAGTCTATACACACAAAAACACCACCCCAAACATTTGTTAAAAGCTTGAGTGTAGACATAGAATTATAATGGGCATACCATAGTTTCAGTGAAGTATCTAGAGCAATGTTTGTCAAGCTTGGGCCACCAGTTATTGTTGAGCTCTAACTCCCATCAACCCCGGCCACTGGCTGGGAGATGATGGGAGTTGTAGTCAACAATAGCTAAGGAATTGAAGGTTGGGAAATGCTGATCTAGATGGCCTTGGGTGGTACAGAGAGCACCAAAAAGAACATGCACAAGAGATAATTGTTGGTATACACTTTATGACTGGGGAGAAGGGCATAGCTTAATGGCAAAACACCTGCTTTACACAGAGAAGGTCCCAGGTTTAATTCCTAGCATCTTCTCATACAGGGGTAGCTTGTCTGGGATCCTGCAAGACAGCTGGCAGTCAGAGTAGACAGCATTGGGCTAGAAGGACTAACAGTCTGGTCTGGTATATTGAAGCATTTTGTATTCATATGATTTCCATAAGGAAGCTGGCAAAATCACCCACCCTCATTGCATATTTCCCCTGCTGTAATAACTCACTGCATGGATCAAGATCAATACATTGCCCATGTTCGCACATCATGATAAGACTGCTGGCTCTTGCGCATTATTTGGAATGAGCAGTGTGCTGGTCCAAAGTGCTTGATCACTACTGCTTTTCTCTTCTTGCACCATGAGTGGGAGAAATGAATCAGGAAGCTGAACAAACTAGGAAGCCACAATTCGGTTTGGGGTTTTTGGGATGATGCCTGTAACAGTTTTACTACGTAGTGAACTGCCTTGTACAGGCTGCTCTTACAAATGAAGCTAAGTAAACAGTACTGTGAGCTGGGGAATCAATAATATGAGCCTCTTCAAAGTCAAGAGGGGTTGCTAACCTTTTTTGGGCCTTTGGAGAAATTGAAAAGTGGAGAAACTTTTTTGGACCCCAGGCAAAAATAGCTTCTCTTGGCTACAACAGAAGGCTTATTTCAAGTCTAATTTCAGGAAATGAGACCCTGCAGGCATATTGTGCCATTGTGGATTGTCAATCCATATACCAGAAAATCTCTGGCAAGCCAATATTCAGCCAGAGCTATGATATTAATGCATATAACGCAGCAACCTTGTGGTATGAATATGATCAGTGTCTGGACTGGGAGACCACTCAATAGTTTCATAACAAGACTGAGAGATTTAAAAAATGGAATAATAAATCTTATCTCAAGCCTCAGCACCATATTTGCAACCTGGTGAAAATAATAGAGGCCTATCTTAGAAGATCCCATAACGACATTATGCTGATATACATTAAGTGCTCTCAAAACTTGAAATGTGCTAGATCCATGTTAATTATGATGATTAACACGTAAACACACAATCATTCTCCCCAAGGCTAAGCATTAAGATTGGCATTTGCCAAAAGCGAAAGGTGTGATCAACATCTCCCCCAAAGCTCATTTGTGCAACAATGACTTCTCCTGTTGCCAAAAAAGAAAAAGAAAAAAATCCTCCATTGTGTGTGGACTTTTCCTGTCAATTATGGATGACTTCCAAAACATTCTAATTTTTGGAATGCAGTATGAGTCATCCCTCAGAAAGACAAAGGTGGAGAAGCGAGTTACCACCATCAACTCCATAATCTGGCAGCTTTTCCATGTGTGACTCTCGTAAAGTGGCTATTCGAGTTGCAGGCAACCCAAAATAGCAACTGCTTGACAATGGAAGAATTTCTCCTTCCCAGGAGTGTACAGTTAAGAGGTAAACTCAAAGAAACAGATTTCAGATTTGCTTACCTGCATTGGAATTCAGCTCCTCATTCTCAGATTCTGTCCCATTCTGACTCCCACTTCCATGAAGGCTATTCATGGCCATCAGCTTCATCTTCTGCAATTTCATCGCCTCTGCCATGGCAGCTGCTGTTAGACCTAGCCACAGAAATAAAGAGAAAAAGTATTTAAACAAAATGACCAAACAGTCTTTTCTGTCATTTCAACTTGCCTAGGAACATAAGATCCCTGCTGGTTCAGACCAAAGGGCCATCTAATTCAGAATCCTGTTCTCACAGTGGCCAATCAGATGCCTCTGAGATGCCTACAAACAGGATATGAACACAATAACACTCTCCCCACTTGTGATGTTTGGCTTATTCCCTCCAACACAGGAAGCTGTGCATTGCCATAATGGCTCTCAGCCATTAATAATGTGGGCAGTTGCTTGAGGGAGTGAAGCAAGACTCTCACAGCAATTATAATTTGTAACCTGGTGCAAATGGAGTTATAGAACCCGGTGGGCACCCTGATAGATATTCACACATATATTCATACTTATATGTATTTTGCATTCATATTTATAGATTATGGATGATGATGGAAGGTAGTACTGTTCTCTAACTAAATCCTCACACACACCCCAAGTTTAGTAATTGGTTAGATGGTACCCATCCCTCTGCATTATTCATAAAGCTTTTCTGTCAAAACTGTGAACGAGTAAATTAACTAAAGAGGAGCTATGAGTAATCTAATCTTCAGGTATGCAATTAATTAATTAAAATTGAATGGCAAGCCACACCGCCTGCACTGCAGTCCCTCATATCAAAACAAAACATTTAATTAAATTATCAAACTATTTGTAACTGGAAACATTCAAAAGGGGGAGAAAACACACAAAACCACTAAGGCTCTGGCGCCGCTATGATTTCAAGTCCAAATTGTGCCTGGTTTCTGGCTGCTCTACCAGTTGTATGTGATATCCACATTCAAACCTGCTGTGGGCCAAGTGAGACATTCAGAAAGCAAGAACAATGAAACATCTGGTGGTATGAAATGTTAATGCACAATGCCATATTGAAAATAGGAGGGGGGAGCCATTTTGCAGTCTCTGGGTCCCATACCCCTCAGAGATGAGAGCAGCTGCTCCTGGCTTCCTTCAGAAGCAGGCTGGAGTGAACTGTCCTCCCTCCAGATCAGAGAAATCTTGCTCATTGTGGGGTGAAGGAACCCATCTATAATTCTGCACTAGTTACTGCATGCTTTCCTCAAGAGGCAGATTGTGCCTTCCTCAGGACCAGGCAAGAAGAAGAAGAAGAAGAAGAAGAAGAAGAAGAAGAAGAAGAAAAGGAAGAAGTGTTTGGATTTGATATCCCGCTTTATCACTACCCTAAGGAGTCTCAAAACGGCTAACATTCTCCTTTTCCTTCCTCCCCCACAACAAACACTCTGTGAGGTGAGTGGGGCTGAGAGACTTCAGAGAAGTGTGACTAGCCCAAGGTCACCCAGCAGCTGCATGTGGAGGAGCGGGGAAGTGAACCCGGTTCACCAGATTACAAGTCCACTGCTCTTAACCACTACACCACACTGAAGGCAGATGCTACCTCTTGAGAGAAGATAAGACTGTCACTGGGTGCCAGGGGAACCAGCACAGGTCTGAAGGTGGAGGCAACTTCCTGAGCAGAGGTGGGGAACCATAGTCCTGAGGACCTTTCTACCTGGGTCTAGGCACCTTCCCCAAGGCCACACTCCTGCTCCTGATGTCTTACCATTCACTGGTCTTGCTTTGTATTTTCCTTAAGTGTTTTCGCCTGGCTCAAAATTTCTCCCTTAATTCTGATAAAGCTTCTTGCCTGGATTGAGGTGTGTGGGTGTGTATAGAAACTAATGGACAAAGGTGAAATTTACCCTCTCACTGCACGCACATAGATTCATAGAACTGTAGAGTTGGAAGGGACCACAGGGTCATTTAGTCCAACCCCCTGCAATGCAGGAATCTTTTGCACAACATGGAGCTTGAAGCCACAACCCTAGATCAAGAGTCTCATGCTCTTCTGACAGCTATCCCTCTTTCAATCAAGCAAAATCCAGGTTAATCCTTCAGTCTTTCAAATGCTCAGCCTAGCACTAGTGAGGAGACTGAAACCTAGTTTGCAGATGGATCAGAAAGAAGGGGGAATGAGTAGGTTGAGTTCTGGGGTGCCAGAATGGACTGCATCACTTATGACTGTATGGGGTGGGTGTCTTCTTTTTTAATGCTTCTCTATGAAAATATTTTGATACAAACTTTGATGTTCCAATTCCATCCTGGCTGTTTTGCTTGGAGTTGTTAACTGCAATGTGGGGGCAGTATTAAAAAAAAATGTTACCCACCACTTGCAGGTTTTCACTGACTGCTCCCTTGTTGGTTCAACCAATACATTCTGCTTTATGTATAAGTCCTAAAATGGCAGAGATGGTTTTAGGATCTTGGACTGAACATGCCAGGGTGGAAGTGATAGATGCCAGGCTAAGTCCAGCTAATAAGCAGCCTATGATATTGCCCCAGCACTGATCAGGAGCTGATTGGAATCTGGCCTCGCCCTTCTCAGGGGAACTTCAGTCCCAGAATCTGAAATAAACCTAGTGAAAATGTATGTGTATTACTATTTGTATGTCTCTTGGCATATTATTCCACCATGTAAAATGTTAAAATCAGTAAAATAACAATATTATCAACGATGGATGAAACATAAGCAAGATGCATCCATCTCATACTCTGAACATCTTTTTAAGCTATATGATTGAGAGGAAATGACAAAATCAGAGTTGGAAAGGAAAAGGCCGGGTTAGATTGTATTTTCCCTTGCTTTCTTTTCAGAGACCCGCTTATGATGGTTGATTGATTTCATGACATTTTCCGTTCCTTTTAGAGTCTAGGCTATGGGAATGATTTGTCAGGATTGTAATACTTAATACTTTTAGTGAGCTCCACTCCAGCGACCTTTATCTTATTCTGTATAGTTGACTGCCTGACCCTTTCCCCTTCTCAGGATCACAAAGATGAATGTAAAAAGGCAGAGAAAGGATTTTGGGCGATGGGGTTGAAGAGAGAGGAGGGGGAGGGGGAAGAAAGACTGGCTATCCAGAAAATCAGCAGAGTGTTCCATGTCCTATAATAATTGAACCTCTTTTTTAAAAGTGGCAACTGTCCTGGTAAATGCATTAACTGAAGACGAAGAATAAAAGTACTCATTGAACTTAGGTTTCTGTGGTGCTAAGGAACAAAAACTGCAAGCCTATGTTTACTGCAATTGCAGTAAACCCCACTGAGCACAGTGGGGTTTACTCCCAAGTAAATATGCCACATGTGTGGTGTACTGGTTAGAGCAGGGATAGGGAACTTGTAGCTCTCTTGGTCAGGGCTGGGCAATAAATAGTTGCTGCCTGAGCTAAGGACAGGATGGCGCCCCCTTGCATCCACTCACTACGCAGGAGCTAAACAGATCAGTGTTGGAACTGGTAATGGGACAGCATCCTTCAACTGTACCTGAGGGCAGCAGCCTAGCTGAGAAGAGGCTTCAGGCTTTGACTGTGTCACTCTGCCTGATGGTAGAGCTGGACCTGTTCCAGAACTTTGTTGGACACTAGCTCCCAGCAAGCCCAGTCAGCACAGTCAGGTATGACAGAAGTGCAACTCCAGCAGCATCTAGAGGTGTTCAAGTTGCCCATTCCTAGGTTAGAGTGCCGATAGAGCATGAAACTCTTAATCTCAGGGTTGTGTGTTTGAACCCCATGTTGAGCAAAAGATTCCTGTATGGTATGGGGTTGGACGAAAGATTATTGTGGTCCATTCCACACACACACACACACACACACACACACACCCCTAATTATCATCTTTCATAGCAACCACTCTATTGGGAAACATAATGCCATATATGGGAAACAAAATAGGTTTAAAGACACTCTCAAGGCAAATCTAAAAAAAAAAATGTAGTATAAACACCGACAACTGGGAATCACTGGCCTGTGAGCGCTCCAATTGGAGAACAGCCTTTACCAAGGCATCATGGACTTTGAAGAAGGACAAAAGGGAGAAATGAGCTAAGAAGAAGGGACATTTGGCAAATCCTCACCGTGATCAACTCCCGCTGGCAACCTATGTTCCCATCGTGAAAGGATATGCGGATCCAGAATTGCCCTCCACAGTCACTTATGAACTCACTGTTAAAACCGTGTTGATGGAAAACAATCTTACTTTGCTATGAGTGATCGCCAAAGAAGAAAGAACAATATAGACCTCTATATAGCAGCTAGGGACGCGGGTGGCGCTGTGGGTAAAACCTCAGCGCCTAGGACTTGCCGATCGCATGGTCGGCGGTTCGAATCCCCGCGGCGGGGTGCGCTCCTGTTGCTCAGTCCCAGCGCCTGCCAACCTAGCAGTTCGAAAGCACCCCCGGGTGCAAGTAGATAAATAGGGACCGCTTACTAGCGGGAAGGTAAACGGCGTTTCCGTGTGCAGCTCTGGCTCGCCAGAGTAGCTTCGTCACGCTGGCCACGTGACCCGGAAGTGTCTGCGGACAGTGCTGGCTCCCAGCCTCTAGAGTGAGATGAGCGCACAACCCTAGAGTCTGTCAAGACTGGCCCGTACAGGCAGGGGTACCTTTACCTTTTACCTATAGCAGCTAGACCTAGAAGCTTCCCTTCTTGGCTTTGTTTCCACTATAGATGATGAATGTATGACTCTATCATCGTTAATAAATGACACAGTTCTGAAGTGATAGGCTAAGGCAGGGACAGGGAACATCAGGCCCAGGGGTCAGATGTGACCCTCCAGGCCTCCTTATATGGTCCTCTGCAGGCTGCGCCCTCTCTAGCCATTGCCAAACCTGGAGACCCAGCACCTAGTACACTAAGAACTATTTACGCTAAGAACTATTTACAGAAAGCATGCTACAGAAAGCATAATACTTTAAAGGTGTAAATAAAAAGTGATCATTTTAACATTATTGGGGAGGATCAAAGAGCTGGTAGTGGCTGTCTTTCTACTGGTACTGAAACCTGACTACAAGTCTCATAATTTAGGAGTAAATGAACCTTTTCCCTGATTAAACACCCGTCAACTTTGACTGATGAAGAGGAAACCACATTAGAAGCAACTAAGCTACCTGTTATCA